GTCACGAGCGACCATGATGCGCTCAATGTTGCTATTGTAGATATTTTGTCCAATGCCCGTGGCGTTCAAGACCTCAAGACAGGGTTGGGCGGGGGGTCTTGCGCGGAGCACTCAAACACATTCGGGGACGATACGTTCAAAAGAAACACATTTGAGATGCGTCGCACTCCAGGAGCTGCTTTAAACTGTAAACATGTGTTTAAGCGTCAGCTAAAAGCGTCTAAATATGTGTCAACCAAACCCATGGAACCGTGCAATCACTGGTTTGAACGAGTTCGGGATCTGTGGCACTCGACGAACTCTTTAAACGTGCGTCCAAACAACGCCTTAAGCAGATTCGAGATGTGCGGCTCTCAAGGAACTGCTAAAACATGCGTCTAAACATCGGTTTAAACACTTTTGGGGATGTGTGGCATTCGGGGAACTAGACTGGATAAACATGCGGTTAAAACATCGCTTTACACCGATTCGGGATGTGTCGCGCTGAAGGATGCCGAAATTGCTGCTTAAACATGCGTTAAAACATCGGATAAACGGGGTCGGCATGTGTGGTACTCCGGGACTGTTCAAATATGCGTTTAAAACTGTCTAAACAAATTAGGGATGTGTGACACTCCAGGAACTGTGCAAGCATGCGTTCAAACTCGGTTTCAGGTAGCTAAACTGTTTAAAGATGAATTGAGCGTCGTTTGAAACACATTCGCCCGGTTCGAGCTTCATGTGTGTCACTCCAGGAGTTGGCACATGTGCGTTCAAACATACTGAAACGCNNGTTGAAGCCATGGCTTAAGCCTGGCAGTGCAACGACACAAACAAGCATCCAACCCTGGCCTTCCACTCATGAAAACCCTTCAAACCTGGACTAGACCGGCTTGAAACGACCCCTGCCTCTAGGTCGAGGCCCGTGCCGAAGTGGCACCCTCCGGGCCCGGAGCCCTGGAAGGGGAAGGAAGTTCAGCAACATGGAGCCTGACGTTGCCCGTCTCCTTGTACCCGAAGCTGGATAAAGGCAGGTCGTACTGGCACTCGACCTCAACCGAGAGGTCCACCGAGGGTGGCCTGGTCACATTTTGGGTGGAGGACCTCTCGGTTGAGGTCGAGTGCCAGTACGATCTGCGCTTATCGAGCTTCGGGTACCCGAAGCTGGATAACCGCAGGTCGTACTGGCACTCGACCTCGATCGAGAGGTCTTCCACGGAAAATGTAACCAGGCCACCCTCGCTGGACACGTGCGTCCCCACGCCGACCTGGGCGTCCCTCATTTTTATATTGAAAAGCCGGCCGCGTTGAACCCAGCCGTTCTGCGTCGGCCTCAGCATTATCTGCTCAGTCAGCTCCTTATTGGAAAGGAGCTCCTGCACCAGCTGAGCACCACTCGCCGTGGTGTCAACGGAGGCTGCCGGTGCTCCTCCCTGATTGCCTTCGATTTCGAAGGTCTTGAAGATGACGCTTGCCGCCTTCGCGACGTCTTCCTTCAGCATCGTCCCCAAGTCCTCGCTGCGGCCGCGCA